TCTATTTTTAGTAGAGACGGGGTCTCGCTCTTGCTCAGGCTGGTTTCGAACTCCTGAGCTCAAACAATCCGCCTGCCTCGGCCTCCCAGAGAGCTAGGATACATTAGTCTACATTCTTAACTTGGGATTCAGTGATCCACGGATCTCTCCAAAGATGTGTATATGCACAAACGTGAATGGATGGAGGGAAGATTACTTTGCTTACGTTCTCAAAGGGGTTCTTGTCCCTCCAAAAGTTTAGAACTAATGGCTTAGAATATACCAATAAAGTATTTCCCATGCATAAACCCGGCAGGATTAACACTGAGGAAGAAACCGACACACAACGATCTTCCCAATGATTTTCAAGAAGAGCCTCCAATTGAGTGATCATTTCTGAACTTAAGATAATGACAAAGACAGCGGAGTTGCCACTAGTGTGGGAATTTAGAAGCTGTGCCCCTTGTCCCCACCTCAATCTTGGAGAGGATGGAAGTCTGGCAACAGCACGAGAGGAAGGAAGTTTTAGCAATACCTCACATTCGTAGACTACTTTAATTATACTTTGCAAATCCTCTTCGTTGGATTCTCAGACAGCCTTAAAAAAATAAAGATGATTTTTAAGGTAGTTATCACTAAGCCCATTTCATAGAGGGGGAACAAGCTCAGAGACGGTTCGGTGACTTGCTCAGTTCCCGTGTTAAACAAAAATGAACAGTTAGTAAAACCAATGCTCTAACCAACTGCCAGTGCAGTGAGTTGGAAGAGTGGTGGAGAAGGCCCTGAGCCTGCAGATGCCTAATCACTAAGTGAGGAAAGGCTCAAAACACGGGGAAAGCGGGGCCGGGAAGGAGGGGCTCGGGGCGGCCCGGCAGCGCCGGGCGGGGCGGCGGGAGCCGAGGGCCGCTACCTCGGTGCGGCGGTACAGCGTGGCCTCCCCAAAGGCGCCGCGGCCCAGGACGCGGATGGGGATGTAGTGCAGCTCCTCCTGCTCCGCCGTGCCGCCGCTGACTCGCGGCCCCTGACTGGCGATGGGTCCGGGGCCCGAGTCCCCGCCACCCCCGGACTCGCTCCCAAAGTCCGAGTTGATGGAATCGCAGTGTCGCTCGTACTCGCCCAGCACCGACATGGCGGCGGCCGCGAGCCTTCAAGACCGGTCTGCGTGTCCCCGGCGGCGCTGGCCGCGCTGCGCCCCGCTCGCCTCAGACACCGGCCTGCAGACCCGTCGGCCCGGCCGCCCCGTGAGGTTCCATGGTGGCTCCTGCCCCCTAACCCGGAAGCAGCTCTCGGTGCTTCCGGCCGGGCTGAGTTTCCTCCGCCTTCGCTAGTCCACTTGATTAGTCCAGCGGCCGAGGATTCCCGCCCTCGGGGCCGGCCGGGAAAGTGAGGCCTCGCGGGGGCCGGAGTTGGCGGGCGTGTGGCGAGGACCGCGTGGAACCTCAGGGCTCCCGCAGGGTTAAGGGCGTCATAGATGGGGCGCCCTCCCGGATCTGTAGACCCTCCCCCGCATCCCCGTCCAGGTCCCGGTACAGCTTCGAGGTCTGGAGGTCGTCCAGTCTGATCTTGGTGTCAGGCCTGTCTCAAGAGGATGATTATGGAAGTAGTCTCTTCCAACATTAGGGCTCTTGTTTAGAAAGATATTATAGTAATTAAAGATATTAGAGCTACCTTCCTTTTACAATAAAGAAAAAAAAGTACTAGAGCAAGCCGAAATAATTGCCTCCCCAGTCATCTCAGTCAGTGGTCCAGTTCTTTCTCCCAGAGCCATCCGAGGTCTCTCCCTCTTCCACACAACCCCCAAAATATTTTAAGCCAACTCTCCTTCTCCCCCTTGTTTTTTTCCAGATTCAAATTCTCCTGTTTTTCCAGACCTTTGACCATCTGATTTCATGAAGCATTCTTTGAGCAGACATTATCTGGGAATGGGAAATCTGCAGTAAGATGCTCCCTGCCCTCAAGTCACTAAGAAAACGGCAATAAAGTGAACAATATATGTTGCATCCGTTATGTGATCTTGGGCAACGTTGCATTTCCAAGCTTGTTTTTTAAGTCTATAAAGTTGTGGGACATTCAGGGCAACAGCTAACATTTATTGAGTGTTATGTTCTGGGCACTATGCTAAAGATTTTCCATTGTAATATTCCACTTAATCCTAACATTTCCATTTTACAGAAACTGAGATAAAGAGAGGCTAAGTAACCTGCTCAATGTGGCACAGCTAGTAAGAGGAGCTGGGAAGTCAAACCCAGCACTCTGACTCCAGAGCCAAGAAAAAGCAGGAATATGGTGGGGCCAAGAGAAGGCCATGCAGCTGGAGCCCAGGGAGCATGTGAGGTAGAAGCAGAAGATAGAGTCTCAGATGTTTAATGGTTTGGTGTTTCCTGTGGGCAATGGAAAATTATTGGAGATTTTTAAGGGGAGTATATGATTAGTGACTATATGTTCTGATTTGCTGGTATGTCCCAGTTTACACTTCTTCCCTGACATAATTAATAGAGCCTTTTGCTCCAGTGCCCGGCTCGGACAATAAGCAATATGGTCACCATAGGTAACATCAAAATTATATTTCACAAAGAACTCTGACACAATGTGGAGGACAAAGACTGGAGGCAGGGAGCCAAGTTAGGAGGCCATTTATATTCTAAGAAGAGATAGAGATATTAGTGAATGAAGATGAGGTCCAGATTTAAGAAATCCATCTGAGGAATATTTAGAACTTTATGATCAGTTGGGATATGTTTGCTAAGGTAGACGTAAGAGTTCAGGAGACTCACTTCTAGGTCTTTAACTAGTAGATAGGGATAGCAAATATAGGAGGAAGACAGAATTGGTAGAATGGGGTGAGGGGTATGAGGGCTAATGAGTTCACATCCCTCTGGCCTCTCTATAGTTCATCAATGTTTCTTTTAAAATATGATATCCTGCACTCTGCATGACGCTACACATCAGGTCTGAATAGAGAGAGTACAAGGTCACTTCTGTCTTCCTTGATCTGGAGCCAGTATTTCTATTAGTGCACCAGCCTTCACGATGGTAGTCTTTTTACACAGGTTGAGCATCCCTAATCTGAAAATCCAAAATGCTCCAAAATTTGAAACTTTTTGAGTGCTGACATGATGCCACGAGTGAAAACTTCGACACCTGACCTCATGTGAAGGGTTGCAGTCAAAATGCAGTTTATTCAGCATCCCAAAGGGAAAAAACCTCCCAACCCCCTTCAGCTGCGATTTGTCTTTTCCACACACACCCAGATTCCCCCATGTAAACACATCCTAAAGATTAATAAAATTGCATGTGTGCAGGCCAGATGTGCCAGCAACAGATTCCTCATGATGCCCACAGGGAGCCAAGACCTACATGCATTACTCATTGTGTTTTTTTGGTATTCTCTGCTTTGTGATATAAGGATAGTGTTGAAAATGTCAAAAAGGCTTACAGATACCTCTGTGGGTAACAGTGATAAGAAAAAAAGGAAGTATTTATGTTTATGTATAGCACAGAAAGTCAAGATTTTGGAGAAAGTAGACAGCCATGTTAGCGTGAAACGTCCTGCAGAACAGTATGGTGTTGGAATGACCACCATGTATGACTTGAAGAAACAAGATAAACTTGAAGAAACAAGATAAGAAGTTCTATGCTGAAAATGATGAACAGAATTTAATGAAAAATAGACAAACACTGCATACAGCTAAAAATGAAGTTCTCGGTCATGTATTGAAAGAGTGAATTAATTCATCAACATCATGGTGAACACAAGCCACTTAGTAACATGCTGATCATGAAACAAGCAAAGATCTGTCACGATAAACTGAAAATTGAAGGGAACTGTGAATATTCAACACCGTTGAACATATTCAACACATGATTGCAGAAATTTAAGAAAAGACCTGGCATTAAATTTTTAAAGATTTGTAGTGTTAAAGCATCTGCTGATCAGCCGGGAGAGGTGGCTCACGCCTGTAATCTTAGCACTCTGGGGAGCCAAGGCGAGAGGATTGCTTGAGCTCATGAATTCAAGACCAGCCTGAGAAAGAGCAAGACCCCATCTCTACTAAAAATAGAAAACATTAGCCAGGCAACTAAAAATAGAAACAAAAAATTAGCCGGGTGTGGTGGCATGGGCCTGTAGGCTCACCTATTCGGGAGGCTGAGGCAGGAGGATTGCTTTAGCCAGGCTGACGCCACGGCACTCTAGCCAAGGCAACAGAGCAAGACTCTGTCTCGGAAAAAAAAAAAAAAAGCATCTGCTGATCAAGAAGCACTGGAGAAACTCATTGATGAGTTTGCTCATGTCATCCCTGATGAAAATCTAATGCCAGAACAAGTGTGTAATGCTGATGAAACATCACTGTTTTGGCATTACTGCCCCAGACAGACACTGACTACAGCTGACGAAAGCCTCTACAGGAATCAAGGATGCCAAGGACAGAATAACTATGCTGGGATGTGCTCATGCAGCAGGCATGCATAAGTGTAAACTTGCTGTGATAGGCAAAAGCTTGCATACTCACTGTATTCAAGGAGTGGATTTTTTTACCAGTCCATTATTATGCTAACACAAAGGCCTAGATCACCAGGGACATCTTTTCTGTTGGTTTCATAAACATTTTGTACAAGTGGCTCATGCTCACTGCAGGGAAGCTGAACTGGATGACAACTGCAAGATTTCGTTACTCTTTGACAATCGTTCTGCTCTTCCTCCAGCTAAAATTCTCCTTAAAAATAATGTTTATACCATGTACTTACCCCCAAATATGACATCATTAATTCAGCCATGTGACCTTATATCAATGAAGAGTAAACATAAAAACATTTTCTTCAACAGCATGCTAGCAGCAGTGAACAGAGGCGTGGGTGTGGAAGGTTTTCAAAAGGAGTTTAGCATCAAGGATGCTGCATGTGCTATTGCCAATGCTTGGAACACAGTGACTAAAGACACAGTTGTGCATGCCTAGCACAACACGTGGCCTGCAACTATGTTCAGTGATGCTGATGAACAAGGTGGTGACTTTGAAGGTGAAGTGAGAAAAAAATAATGTCTGACCTCCTTACATATGCAAAAAATACACCTTCAGAGTCCATCAGTAAACTGGAAGAAGTTTTTAACATCAATAATATTCATTAATTGACAGATGGCTAAATAGCCAAAATGGTTCTGCATCAAAGTGATTGTGACAATAGTGATGATGATGATTATGCTAACACTTCAGAAAAAGTGCCTATAGATAACCTGGTGAAAATGTACGATGGGCTTACTGAAGAACTAGAGCAGTGTGCCTTCAAACAGAACAAGAAATCTTGTCAGTTTGCAAAATCAAAGAGAAACTTCTAAGACAAAAACCATTGTTAATGGGACAGATGACTCTAAAGGCAACATTTTAAAAAGCCCTCCAGCGGCATGCCTCCTCATCCCTAGAGCACCCACTTCTTGGCTCCTCAACTGCTTCTGATGTTTCTTCTCACCTAGAAAAATGAAATACAATGTTCAGTAATTTTTTAATCAAAACATAGCATTGTAGGTAGAGGCTGAAAGCCTGCCATTGTTTGTTGTTGCTGTTGTTTAACAGCTGAATCAGGTATTCTGGATGCTACGGTGCTGCTCAGTTACGCTAAACACACTATTTTTTCACTGTATTTATGGTATGTCTTTTTTTTTACTGTTACGTACTTATGTGTGAATAAGCGTAAGTAAATGATTGCTTATTGATAGCATATAAATTCAGACGCAGGAATGATGGTAATGCCAAACCACCACAGATTGCCCACATGGGTGGCTGAGATAGTGACACCTTTGCTTTCTGATGGTTCAATGTATACAAACTTTGTTTCATGCACACAATTATTAAAAATACTGCATATAATTACCTTCAGGCTATGTATATAAGGTGTATATGAAACATAAATAAATTCCATGTTTAGACTTGAAAGATTTATATATATGCAAATGTTTAAAAAAATCCAAAATCCAAAACACTTTCTGGTCCTAACCATTTTGGACAAGGGATACTCAAGCTGTAATATACTTAACTAAATGTACTTAATATACTTAGTACACTTAACTAAATGTACTTATAAGTATATTATATACTTATACTTTATATTAAATATACTTAACTAAATCTCCCTTTTCCACATCCAATCTAATCCAAGGTAACACAGCCCTTCCATCCTATCACATCAGTCCTTATTTTCTTCAGAATGCTTATCTATAAAATACTGGTGTCTTTTTAACATTTATTTTATTGACTCTCTCCATTCATTAGAATATAATCCCCATGAGAAC